AATTAGATAAAACAATAACCAATGATAATTTATAATTAAAATTGTCAATAGAAATTCAAAGATTCATAAATGAAGTTTAATTTTTTCTGTATTTCTAATTGAAGTATATATAACATTTAATCATTTTAAGATATTCAATGAATATAGCATCATAACATAATTAAAACTCCTAGAATGTTTCCCAAAATTAAATTTCCTGATTCGTCTACATCTATAAAATGATACCCTTGACTCCAATCATAATACTAAATTTTAATATTAAAAATACCTAAATAGATTTCTTGTAGTTTCCTGAAGCTTTCGATGTAATGTATGAAATTGTGTTATTTTCTAAAAGAACTTAACCAAAATGAACTACTGCTGATTAATATGTTTATTTCTTCTCTTTTTTTATAGCTTATTTTCTAATTTATTCAATATCTGCTCCATAGATGGTTCCATTCTATGAGGCAAAGTAGATCTTATGATGGAATGGATTAAATGCACAGCTCTAAATAAAATTTAATATTTACTTGAGTCTAATCATCACCAGTTAATGGCTGTATAAGTCTTTTTTCAACATTCTATAGAACTTGAATTGAATCTTTTTTTATAATAGAAAAGAAACAAAACATTAAAGCTTTTTAATTTGGATCATCATTAATACATAATATAAATTTTCCACCTCTATCCCATTTAACTTATGATATACCCTTTGATGTTATATGTCTATTGAATATTTCTTAAGAATTAGAAGGATTAATTATTTTAAGATTACCATCATATCCTCCACTTAATAATAAAGGAGAGTTATTATCATTATGAATATAAAATTAAAGATCTTTAATAATTCCCATATGATATGATTCAAAAAAATTGATAATTAAAAAGTTTTCACCTTTAATTTCAATAATATAAATATTCCCTTCTTAATCTCCAGCAGATATTTTAGATTCTTTGCAAGGACACCAATCAAAACAATTTAATATTTGATTAGGAACACTTATTTTACATAATATTTTCAATTCATCAGATATTATGTTTATGAAGGAAAGCATTGTAAAACTGCCATTTGAATTGATAGTACCAATTGTAGTTATTGATTATGGATAGAATTTAATTTAACTTATTGCACCTTCATTATGATGCATATATCTAATTTATTATTATTATATGATTCCCAATACTCCTTAACCATTATATGTTTTGCCATATAGATGTAATTAGCTAAACTATTAGTTATCATATTAATTCATTTAGATACTCGCTAAAATAACACCTTTATTTATTACTATATTCAATAAAGAACAACCAAAATAAAGTAAGTAACCCTTTTCTAATTTATGAAATTGACCACTTTCAACAGGAAGGGAATCTACCAAAATTTCTTTTTTGTTTAATTTAAATTCATTTCTTTATATTAGATCTATTCTTTCTTATTGTATTGTATTATTGTATATAGATTTGATTAAATTTTCATCTAAATTGCTTTCATTATTATATAGGAATGATTTCTTAAAAACATGAATGCGTGTCATTAATTTTTAAGGAACTTTTTTTATTTTCTTTTCAATATTTTCTAAATTAATAAAAAATTGTAAATTACCTTTAGTTTATGTTTCTGTTATCTTTTTAAAAAAATCAATAGTATTGTTTTTGGTTTAAGTAAATGAAACTTTATTCACAAATGTATTTTCATGATTACAATTCTTACAAATTTTTTAATGTATATGAAGTTCAAATCCACAAGATTTACAGGCTTTAAATCCTCTTCTCACTATGTTATAATTTGATATTACTCTTTTTTTATTCTTTTTTAGAAGTCTCTTTTTGAGATGATTATTTCTTTAACTTCATAATTAATTTATTCAAAATATTAATAAAATGCAAACTTCGGTTAATACAATTGAAAAGGCAAATGTGTTAAGAAAGGAATTTTTAGAAATCGAAATAAATCATGATGAATTGTTATCGATTGAATAATTTTATAGATGTCTAGATAAGAAAGTATAAACTGCATCAAAATTTAGTTAAGAAGATAATTTGATAGAGAATTAGGGGATCAATTATATTAAAGAATGAACAAAACTTTTAATAACAAAATAACTATTGATGAATTTATTAAAGTGTTTCTCTAAGCAGAGGAGATTTTAAAGAATAAAATTGAAAGTTGTAAAAAGCAGATTTTAGATTATAATAAATAAAGAAAATATGTATCAAATCAATTTGATGTATGAATTGTAAATAAATAATTAAGTCAATAAAAGATAGTGAAAGAGTAAATTAATATGGAATTAAAGAGGATAGTTATTTAACTGTTGAATTATTAGAAGGAATCAATTTTCCAGCTTAAAATGTATCAGTAATTTTAAAATTGGAAAATTAAAAATAAGAAATTTAATAATAAAATGGACCATCACCTTAATGGAATAAAAATCTTAATTTGTATATTATTAATTATTATATTATTTATAGTAAAATTTCAACTGGCTTAGAAGAATTATAATTATTTTTTTACACCATTAATCATCCTAATATACCATAATTATTAGGAACTGTGACTTTATCTTTATCACATTTGACCAATTAAACTAAAATTGAAGATTGCTGTCAATTATTTGATAAAAATGGATAATAAACATAAACTAAAATTAAATTAAGATCATAATGGATATTTAATGATTCAAAATCATTAAGTTAATAAATTGAAGTTTGGGATGAATAAATAAAAACAGCCTAAGATGATTTAATTGATTTTGAAAAAGATTTAGCTACACTCTATGAACCTTTTCCAAATTATGTTTAATTAATTCGTAGTATAGAAAAAGAAGATCTAGCTATAAATCATTAACCTCCTAACACTTTAGTGATGACACCAATAAATAATGTTAGTTCTTAATATGATTACAAATTATATACACGTATAAGTATATTAATTGTAATGGGAATTAGTGTATTTATTTGTTTTGGAAAAACTCAATTTTTAGATGTAAATTTATTAATAAAAATAGTTAATTTTATGTTTCTTTTTTATTATTGAATTTGAATTCAATAGACTTTACAAATAACGTTTAATCTATTATTCTGTAGCTGTTGGCATTTCATTATTATGTGATTTAGTATGGGCAATCAAATATTCAAGAGGATTTTGGGGTAGTGAAGCTACTGAAACAGATAAATATTATGCAATAGAAAATGGACCCAATAGATTAGCCTTAATTTTACTTTATATTTCTTTCATATTTAAAGTATATAATAATTAATTATGATAGTTAATTTTATGTACACTTTTAGGAGCATTAAGTTAGGATATGCCTGAAAAATTAGAGGAATAGTTGCCAAAGAACAATAAATAAATAAAATAATAATTGTTGTATTAAAAAAATAAGACTGCTTAATTTGGTGAAGATAATAGCACATTTTACAATTATTGATTTGATTTCTTTATTATTAAAAAAAATGTAATTTAATTATGAAATACTATAAGAAATATATTAAAGTGGTAGAGTTAGAATTGAGAAAGTGAGATCAATGTCAGACAATTAGACATATATTTAGAAAACATACCTTTCTAATAAAAATGAAGGTATATGTTAAAATGGATTATCAAATAGGTTTGAATGCTATAAAGATGTTAGCTTAAATAAAAAATTAGTTTTTATTGTAAGTTATTGAATACATGGAGAATGAAGAATAATAATTAGTAATCATTTAAGAATATTGTGATTAAGGAGATCTAAAAACATTCACTTTATAACATATCGGTTACAAAATGCAAGAGAGTATTATATGGTCACTCTTTCTTTAAATGGCTTATGCATTATTATAACTTAATGAGTTAGGTATACAACATAGAGTTTTGTTACCAGAAAATATACTCTTATTGGCAAGAACAGAAGGATATTAAATTAGAATAACTGATTTTCATAAATCTTCTAGATAGACATTATGTTAATTGCCTTGTCCAGCAATCTATTTGCCACATGAATATTTTTTCGATGGTTAATATACATAAAAGTCTCACATTTGGTAGATTGGACATATTCTATATTTTATGGTCTCTTAGAAATTACTATTTCCATAATCTACTTAAGAAAACTAAATTAAGGAATAATTACGTAGAGGAAGAATTCAAATAAATATTTCTGATTTTTATTCACCTGGTTTAGTAAAATTAATTAATGTTTGTTTAACCATTAGAGAAAATTAGAGACCTAATATTCTTTAGATTTTAAGAATGAGAGAAGTAAAGGAAGCAATAAATAGACCTTATTATGAATTTTCTTTAGAATAAAAAAGACATTTAATGTATTGGATTAATAGTTCAGAAACTACTATTTCTTATCCAGTTTAATATTCATTTAATGAATTTGATTTACATTCACCAAAATAAATATCAAAAGAAGTTGTAATAAAAAAGAATTTTTAAAATTCTAAATTACCAGAAATATTTTAATAAAAATAAATAACAAAAAAATCTTCTTCTGAAAAAAAAATTGAATCTGAAAATTTAAAAACTGAAATTAAAAGAAAAGAAGATATATTTTTATAATAATAACTTCTTACATAAACTTATACTAATAAATATTTTGTTGGAATTGTTAAACCTATAAATTATCATAAAAAATAATAATAATAATAATAAAAAATTGATGTACCACCTAGATTCTCAATACCTTATGAAAAATAATTAGACTCTATTTTTTAAAATTTATTAGATAGTAAGAAGTAATTATGTAGCGAATGGATTGGAGATTCAGAATATATGTTTTTAAAATCATAAATAAAACTAAATGTAAGATATTTTTATTTAACTTCTTAGAAAACTGATAAATTGATGAATTATATGTAATATAGATATCCAAAAGTTAATAGTAGTGTAATATTGAAATAAATTAATGATATTGCTGATTTAGAACAATAAAGATCTTATAGCAAAACTAAATAATGATTGTATTGTAATTTAAATATTTTGTTTGAAGCAGTTAAAATAACTTTTTTATTAATTTATATATAATTTAATGTCTCAAAGACTTTTAAGAAAATCAAGAACTAATTAGAATGATTAAAGTCAGTGTTAAAGTTAAGGTCATGCTTCCCCAATCTTGATAGATGAGCAAATGAGAAATTTTAAAATTGAATTCTCTGACTTATCAAGAAAAAGATTGAGTGACAGTGGAGAAGTCAAAGATCCAACAATTTATAGTTAACGAAAATCTAGACTTTCTTAATTTTCTCAAATCAACAATCGATAAAGAGATTTAAGTGAACACAACCCAAGCCTACCATAATATACAAGTGCAACAAAATAATATTATTAATTAAAATGGAAAGAATTAAATGGTTTACCTAAGCATACTGATTTATAATAAATTATCAAAACATTTCTATAGAAACTGAAAAGAAATGCTAATATAATGGAATAACCTATTACTAATACTTATTTCAAAGAAAATTACTTAAAGGAAGAGGTGTAATTCTAACCTTCCTATCTTTTACATTTGAGACAATTTTTTTAATATATAAGATTGATTTCATATATTTTAGTTCCATTGTAAGCTGGAACAAATTCAGTGTAGTTATGGGTTTTAGGTTTTATTCTCTTATTTTTACTTATTGAATAAGTTGATTAAATATTTAAAATAAAATTAGAGAAATTGAATATCACTTGCAATTTTGTTTATATTGCAAGTACTTTATTAATAAATTTTGATTTTAGTAATACAGGTAAATTAATATTATTACTCTTATTATTGAGTGGGATTAAATATTAATTCCATTGGAATACAATTACATTCTCATTAATTTTATTGATCTATATCAATTATATTGCTAATCTTTGGTTATTAATATAAAATGATGAGTTCAGTTACATTGAATCAGTAATTTGGACAATGAATAATTGTGTATAATATTAACTATAATTAGAAAGTTACCATTTCATAATATTGAGTCACATAATTAAACTAATTAGATATATACTATAATTTTCTAAATTGCATCTTACTATTTTTAAATGATATTTTTATCTTCATTCATAAAATTTCTATTCTCCTAAAATGAGTATTATTGTAAGTTAATTTTAGAATGAAGATGTTTATAGACTTTTTAGAGAATAATAAGGTTGATTTAAAAATTATATAAGATACAAGGGAAGTATTGAAGGAAAATTAATATTCAACTACATTATCAACTGTAATTAAAAATTAAATTTAAATTAGGTTAATAATTTGATGTAATCACTACCAATAAATTTAACGAAACCTTTATTTTTTTTAATGAAGAGTAAAAAATTATAAGAGATTAGTTTTTTTAAATAATATTTTTCTAAATAATCTTTGGATGAAATTGGATATGAATCAAATCTAAAATTCTATAAAACTAATGATATAATTGTAGAGAAAGGTCAATTAGATGAATATATTTATGTAGTACTTTAAGGTGAAATAGGAATTTATGATAAAAATATTTATTTGTAATGTTTACCAAACAATTAAGCTATTGGAATAGAAAATTTACTTATGAGTCAAGGACATAATTTAACAATGAGAAGTAAGGGAAATTCTATACTTATTTAAATAAAACATTCATTATTTTTAGATACTATAAAAAAGATTAATAATGATTTAGAAACACTTCATTCAATAAAAAATGAAGTGTTATTTATGAATAAAATAGAATTATTATTATAAAATTGTTATGTTTGTGGATCATAATATCATTTAAGTTCTGGATGTAATAAAGTTCATTCAGTTTTAAACAAAAGTATTGTTATAAGTAGATATTTATATTCAATTCCATAAAAAAGAGAGAAATATGAAAGAAAATGGGATTGGAGAGTGAATTCATTATACAATTTTAAATTAGTAAGAAGTTGTGGAAGGAGATTGAAAAGGAATTATGGATTTATGTTTTAAGAACCAGAAATTAATAATAGAATAGATTATTATGATGAAGAAGAAGAAGAGGAAGATGAAGATGAGAATGATGATGAAATATAATTAGGAAGATAATCATATAAAGATTTGACCAATCCATCAAGAGTATATAATTTATATATAAATAGAAAAGTGTTGAAATGGTTTCAGGTTAAACTTTAAGGGACATTATCTATCATGATCATATTGATAATGAAGAATAATTATAATATTATTAATAATAATGGTAATAATAATAATAATAAGAAATAAATAGACATTAAATCAATAAATAAACATTACAAACTGCTGGATTTCAAACAAATGATGATTTATATTTTGGAGATTCTATTAATATTCCATTATAACATAAATAATTTACTTAAAATAGTAATACTTTTAGATCATCAAGTGGATAAAACACTTATTAAAGTTAGAAAAGTTAATAATTAAAATAATAATAATAATAATAAACACAATAATAAACACAATAATCATTATATTAATCTAAAACTTATGTTTAAAGTCCTCTTGGAACAAATCAACTATTAGTTAGTAGTAATAGAAATGCTTAACCTAAATTAACATTTTCTTATGATCCATTCTATCATGAATAAAATTAGAAATAAGTATTAGCTGCTCCATAGCCTGAATATTAGGCAATGGCAAGACCATAATATAGATCATCTACTAATTATGTACCAAGTGTATAAAATCAATTGCCTATAGTATCAGAAGAGAGCAATTCCTTATTAAATATTCCAATAGCAAATAATCCATATCAATCTGCCATGTCTATTAGTTCTGTAGGTATGTCAAGCATTGATGAAGTGCAAAGAAGAGAAGGATAAAATAATACATATACTGGTGTTAGGAGAACAACTTAAAAATAAACTAATACAGTGTCAAGTGTCATTAGTCCTGATATAAAGAAAAAGTCAATTTCAGCATCAAATTCTAGATCATATTCAGCTTTGTCTTCTAGATAAAATTAACACTATAGTGATTTAGATAATATCTTATATAAATAAGATCTTAAAGATAATTTTGATATTGATTAAATTGGAATATATTAATAGTTTAAACCTTAGAATAATTATGATTGTGTTGTTAATTAAATAAAAATATAATCAAAGAAACTTATAAAGAAAAAGAAACTCAAATGATATTTATTTTATATTATAAATAATTTTTGTTTTTATATTAATTTTATATTAATTTTATATTAATTTTATGTTCATACCATATAAAAAAAATAAAGGATATAAAATCCCTGTTATATTTGAGTTTGGATAATAAAATACAAGAGTTGGATATGCAGGAACTGATGGTCCAGAAGTTGTTTTACCATCTGATTTATTAATGGATAGTGAGGGAAATATGAAATTTATTGAATAAAATAGTACATATCAACCAGTTGGATTTGATGTTAAGAATATACTTTTAGGAGGATAGATAGTTGATTTCGATATATGGAAAGAATATGTTGAACACATTCTAAATAATCTTTTATTTTAAGAAAGACATTTCCCATTTTTTTTTGTCGAAAATGGAAATGTCAAAAAAGAAACCAGAAATAAAATCATTGAAATGCTTTTTGAAGAAATAGATGTTTCCTCTGTTTTTTTTCACAAAAACACAATGTTAGCTTAATATATAGTAGGAAAAGATAATGTATTAGTAGTTGATTGTGGAGCATCTCATACTACAATTACTCCTATATTGGATGGTAATGTTATTGAAAAAGGTAATTAAAATTTATTTTATTTTAGGTATTCTTAGAAGTGATATAGGAGGAGAGTATATTACAAATAAATTATATGAAATTTGGAAATAATAAGGTTTAGCATTTTCTAGATTTAAAAATTATAGTCAACTCTCTCCATCTCTTTAAATGTACGGAGATTTGGAAATAGTTAGAGAAATTAAACATCAATGTGTTAAACTATATGATTAACCTATAGAGAATTTGTAATTATATACATTAACATATTTAAAGAAAATTCAATCCAACTGTTGATAATTAAGCATATGAATTACCTGATTAAACTAAATTATTAATATCTGAAGAAATGTATAAGTATCCAGAATTTTTATATGAACCTACAGAAAATTTTGAAGGATTGGATAAAGCATTAGAAACAAGTTTAGAAAAAATTGATTCTGATTATAGAAAGGAATTAGTTCAAAATGTTATATTGATAGGAGGAGCTAGTTGTACAGTTAATATGGTCGAAAGATTTTAAAGAACAATAAATAATCTTAAAATATTTGGATTATCTTCAAGAAGTAAAGTATAAACTCTCCCAAAATTTTTTGATCGTTAACATGCTTCTTGGTTAGGAGCTTCTATTGTTGCAAGTTCATAAATTTATGATCAATGGACTTTAAATAAATCAGATTATGATGAACATGGATCTTCTCTAATAGAAAAAAAAATGTTTTATTGATATTTCATTTATCAATTAAAATAATCTAATTTTATATTAATTATCTTTTAATATCTAAATTTATTTTAATCATGAAATAATGTCTAAATATTTTAAGAATTAAATCTCAATTTTATTAAAAATATATAAATTTTATTTCTTTTTTAATGTTATTATTCCCTGAAAGTCGCTATCCTATTGAAAATAGAAAAAAGTCATAAACATATCATTAAGAATCTACAATTAAAGAATTGTTATCAAATTCAGTAGGAGAAGCTATCAAATATAAACCATCAAAACCAATAAATTCTAAATTGGATTATGAAGAAAATTAATATTTAGCTAATAAAAATAAATAAAGTTATTTATAGAGCAATATTTTCCATGATACAAAAATTTAAATTAGAAATGATAAATAAGCACTCCAATATTAAAATAATAAAAAAAAGTAATCATCCAACCTTTCATCCAGAGTAACAACTGAACCTTAATATTAATAACCCTCATATGTTAGAGGTACTTTGAATCAAGAATTCAGAAAAGATGATATAAAAGTAGAAAATAAATAATCCTAATAAAGTGTATTATTTAATACTTTAGGGAAATATTATGTAGAACACAAAAATCCAGGTAAAACTAATTTTATGGCTTCTGATCTGACATTTCTTAAACATGATTCTTTAAGGGATAAAAAATTAGAATATAAAGAGAAATAATTAGAGGCAGAATATTAAAAATAAAAAAGTTATTTATCATAATATAATTCTACTTAAAGTCAATCAAGAAGGTAATCAAAATAAGAATAAGAAATAAATGTTAAATTAAATTAAATAGAGATACCTAAATAAGAAATTACAGGTTATGATATTGTTATAGAATAAAAAGGGAAAGGTTTTCTACCAAATTAATTTAGGAGTATTATTAAGCATAATGGATTTTAAATTAAATAATAAGAGAATGACCATTATATAATCTAACCTTTAGGAGGAAATAATAATATATAATCAATTGCCAAATATTTAAAGAATTATGATAATAAAGCTAAAATAGAGAAAGTACCATATTAATAAGATTGATGATTATTAATCGTAAAATAATTAATAAATTCATTTCTTCTTAAATGTTGATGAATTAGTTGTTATAGTCTATTTTTGAGGTTATTTAGTTTAAGCTTATTTTGTTTAAATTGTTTATTTTTTTATAGATTATGTTTATGATGGTAAGGTTGAAGGATTATCAAAGTTTACTTTAATAACTTTACCTTCATTTTATTCATCATCTTTATCAAACTATAAATCATCTATTTAAATTAAGAGTATTACCTTGTTATACTAATTTAGATATTGATATATTTATGCTTTAATTTTCAGTAATTTCTGATAATTACTTTATACCAATAATTGGGGCATCCTTCCAACGATGATCATTTGTTTCTAATCTATTTTATTAATGATAAATAATATTTTTAGGTGGTGAATTTTATCTTTACCATTAATCTTTACTTTCATTTAAATTTAATGTATCATTTAATTAATTAAATTATTAAGGTTAATGAATTATTTATTATTATTATTATATACTTGATTATTAATAAGGATTCATCAATATATTAGTTGCTAAGGAATCTAATTCCATTTATTGAGATGATCCATTTAATACATTCATGGCTTCAAAATTAAGAGCACAAACTCCTCTCATAAAAGCTCTCTTTAAGTTTTCTTACATTGATAATTTAATTTTATTGGCTTCATCTAATTATGTTGTAGCTTCAAATAATTTCTATTCCAATAATTATTATTCTTTTTTAAATTTAGCCATCAATAAATCAACATCATTTTAATGAGCTAATTTTAATTTATCAGATTAATTAATTCTAATTTGAATATTAAACTACTTTTTCCATAAATTAAATATCCATCTTTATAAATATAATTTATAATGTTTAATTCCTTTTTTTTAATTCTATCATATTTAATTATAATTACATTTTTCTTCTTTTATGAATATTTTGCATACATCTTTAAACTTTTTAATACATTTGATAAAACAGTTAATTTTCTTTTTGTATTCTTCATTTTACCACAATATTATGCCATTTTTTCTGATCTTTCAGTAATCTAATTGCAAATTCTCATTTATTCTGCCAATTATTCTTTTGTTTATTATAATTCATTATTTTTTAATTCATACATCTATAAATACTTTTCAGTGTCTTATTTTATTGTTTATTTTTAATCTTCTAACATAGATCTCTTCATAGTCATAAATTCACTTGTTGCCTCTGTTTTAAATACATTTAAAATATGCTCTAATCTTATTTTAAATTATTCTGTGTCCTCATCAATTATTTAAGGAGCATGATTTCTAATTTTGGTATTAATTTTTTTTGCTTCTTCATTATTTGGTATTAAATTTTCTAGAATACTATTATAATAAAACCTTTATTCCATGGATTAGATACACATTTACTAGAAGTCATATCTGATTCAGTTTTAGATGGACTTGGAGAAGGTTATTTTACTTAGTCATTTTTATTTTATTTCCACTTTTGACTTAATTTACTAAAATCGCATAGATCATCCAAATCGTTTACAAAACTCATTCAAATTTGAATTATTAACTATAAAATAATATAATAAATACATTATTAATATTTATGGTATATTCTCCATATTAGCCTTTAATTGACCCTAAACATTACAGCAATTTATCAATTGTCCTAACATTTATTGGGTTTTGTTTCTTATCAGATTTTGTAATGTAAACACTCATATGCTAATTGATAGTTATTAATTTACTAAATAAAAAGAATAAAGAGTATTAACAAAGGAATTAATCGCTGGATTTTTTACAGCATTATTTTTATCATCCGGAACAGTATTCACATTTTTAGCTTTAGGGTTGTATTTTTGAGTATCAATTATAAACATTTAATATATATTAGACAATAATCATATATCATCTAAATCCCAACCTGATTCTGCATTCTCCCCTTATTTTTATTATTCTGCCCATGGATCAATTTCTTCTAATTCATCATATAAATCCAACTAACCTTAACTTAATTTTTCTACATTCTTAATTGGTTGATTATTATTATTATTACTTTAATCTTCTTAATTTTCTTGATCATCATCAAATTATACATCAGGAGTTTCTTCTTCAAATTATTAGTTTACTTTCCAATTTTCAAGTGGTTCCTAATTTCTTCTTTCATTCTCTTATTAATTTAATGATGAATCACATATTTTAGGTTCAATAATTTATTAATTATTTTATTTCTCTTCAATTATTTGAACTTATGGATTTTCTAATTCATTTTCAAAATCTATATCATCATCCACATTCCATTAATTTCCTTCTTCTTCATCTGGATTCTCTATAACATTTTCTTTGTTATCTAAATTATCAATTTTTTATTCATTCAAACCTACATCAATCTCATAATGTTATTAATCATTTTATATTTCATCTTCTTGATCATTTACACTCTTCTCTTAAGACCTTGGATCTGAAAATAACTGTGGTTTTGAGATGATTTCTTAAACACCTATCTCTTGATAAGATGGAGAAGGATCTTATGATAATACAGCATTCTTTTGAGAATTAATTTCAATATTATAATTTTTTTCTAGTTAATTAGAAGAATTAATAACAACCTTCTTCTAATCATTATTAATATGAATATCTAAAACATCCAAATCACCTAAACTCTTTTCTATTACTTAATTTTCAAAATTAGAATTACTTATTGGCTCAACAACAAGCTAATATTATATTTCTAACTACTCTTATTCTTTATTAATCTCATTTTATATTTAAATTTCTTCATTATTTTAATTATTACTATCTTGTATTATTAATTCATCAGTTTTATTTATTACTTAATTATTAGATTATATTTATAAATTATTTTAAATGTTCTGTTAATTTAAATATATTTCTTCGTTAGATGGTTCATTTTCAATTTATTCCTATTTTTATATATCTCCTTTATCATTAACTTAATATTAATTTATTTAATTATCTATTTCTACATCAATTTATTATAATGATTTATTTGAATTATTATCCTATTCCTGATCTTATTCTTATGAGATTATATCTTTTTCTTAAGAATTTATTTCTTAATTTTCATATATATTTTATTGATCCTCTTAATTTTATTAATCTGAATTGATTTCTTATTATTATTCATCTTCTTATTTTTGTTCATTTCCTAATTCATCATCTTATTCATCATCTTATTCATCATCTTATTCATCTTCTTATTAATCAGCTTATTCATCTTCTTATTCTTCATCTTATTCTTCATCTTATTAATCATCTTATTCATCTTCTTATTCTTATTCAACTTTATCATTTTCCTCTTAACTTTATTATTATACTTAATCATCATTTTCATTATTTTTTTAATATATTTCATAAGGAACATCATCTTTTTAACCTTCCTATTCGTAATTGAATTCTTTATTAGAATTATATTCCCTTTGATCACCTTCTTTATCTTCTTGTTGCAATTCAATCTAATCATTTGATGATATTTAATCTTAATGATCTTATTAAATTTAATCATCATTATTTTCTTAACTTTCATATTCAACATTTTAATATTCAGAATCACCTTCTTCATTTTAAATTTCTTCTTATTTTTAACTTCCTTCTTTTATTTCTGAATAATCATCTTAAATATTTTTATTATCTAAATTATTTTAATTCAAATTCATCTCTTAAACATCTACTTGATTATCTTAGGATGAATGTACTGACTATTCTTATTATTATTCTTAATATTCATCATAAAATTCTTCATTTTATTGATTATCTTAATTTATTTCATAATCTTAACTTTCTTCAATTTTTTCATAATTATCTTCATTTTCTTCGTCATAATTTTATAACAATCCTTCCTTTTCTGAGAGTTCCTCTGAATCATTTTCTATATTTTATTTAATTTATTAATCTATATTTTGAGTATTTTCTTATTCTTGTTATTCTTGAAATAAATCATTTTATTGATGAATATTATTATCTGATTAATCATTTTATTTAGAATCATCCTATATATAGAAATCATTCTATTATATTTCATCTTAAAAATCAGAATTTTCATCTACTTATTTTTCATAATGATCTTATTGAATATTTTAACCTTAATTTAATTAAATATTTTAATATTGACCAGCACCTTCATTAACATTATCTTACTAAAATAATTGATATAATATAATACTTCTTAAATATCAACATTAAGACTATCTTCAAATTCCCATGCTCCATCTTCTCTTTATGCTTCATTTTCTTCATAATCAATCTATCTCAATTGATTTATTGCTCTTTAAGAATCTTCATCAGCTTATAAATTTTATTCACTAACCTTTTCTTCTTCATCTGAAAACTTTCTTTTTTCAATAGAAATTTATTCTTCTAATTCTTAAATTCTCTCTTATCTTAAATATTTTAATTAATTTAATACTATACTGCATTTTAAAAGTTTTTCTAATATTCTGTGTCAACTAAACACATTTATAATTAATGCATTTATTCAACTTATGCTTCTTACTTATGTTGTTATTATAGCATTCTAACTTCCATTTCTTTTAATTAATATTTTAATTCATGATTTTCATTTCTATATTAAATCATTTATAATTCCACTATAAAATTAATATATAAATTACATTCATCATATTTTCTCTAAAAAGAATCATCTAATTCCCAACCTCTATCTTCTTACTTCCATATATCATTAGAATCTATATTCTATTACTTAGTAAATTCTTCATTTAATTCTTAAATTTATTATTCTAAAACTATTATTTGTGTTTCTTTATTTTCTAAACTACTTAATAATGTATTTTTTTCCTCTTATATAATTGCCAAAGAATCTTCTAATTTTTTAATACTTAATTTATCAACATAATTTCTATTGAATTAATCTATTTATGATTATAATTATGATATTAATTGATTTAAATTAAATTTCTCTTAATCATATTCTCTTTTCAAATTATCTAATTTATTTTAAAGTTCAAAGTTCTAATTCTCTTTATCCTAATTTTGATTTTAAAGTCTTTCATTTTCTTCTATTAATTTATCCTCTGAAACTCTCAATTATTTGATTATATATAAACTTGATTAATGTTCATCTTTTAATTCATCTAATTCATCAATTTATTACATCAATTTTATATTATCTTCTTTAAGTGAACTTATTTATTTAGATTATTTAGAAGTTGTTTATAATGTATATTATAATAAATCCTATTATTTTGTATTATAATATTTCTAAAATTATGTCAATTTATTAGTAACTTATGTATTTAATTCTAATTTTTTAATATTCATTAATTAATTTTAAATTTTGGGAATCTCTAATCTAATTTTTTCTTTTGTATTTTAATATTTTGTTTAATATTTTATGAACTGGTTTTTGTAATACTCCATTTCTTATTACATTTATTCAATATTATCTTCATAATCATTTATTTATTTTTCTTAAGTTTCTATTAGTTTAGTTATATCATTATTAAGGTTTTCATTCTCTTTGATTAATTTACATATAATTTATTCATGATTATCTTAAGGTTCTATGAGCTCAGTTAATTTAAATAATTATTTAGCTTCCTTTAATTATTAATTGAATTATTCCTTCTCTATTTAGAATTGTTTTATTTTATTTTCTAATTCCTCTTTTTACTCTTTTAATTCATTCTATTCTTAGATTCTTCTTAATTTCATTTAATCTTCAAGTTCAGATCTAAATTATAATAATGCTTACTTTTCAAGTTCAAATAATTTCTTCATATCAATTACTTATTAAACACTAGCAAAAACTTTACTATTTTATGTTTATTCTTATGTAATAATAATATTATTAGATCCATTATTTTACGATCCAAATAGATTTTAAAAAGTTTGCTTTATTTTTTATGGTGCACTTTCTTTAATTAGTTTTTCAATTGTTTAACTTTATTAGACTGTATTTGTAAATTTTCCCCACATATCTATTTATTCTGGAGATTTTTATTCATCTTATTAAAATTTAGTTTATTATTCTTGTTTTAATTAACTTTCTGCTTGTGTTTAAGTAAGATCATCAATATCATCATCAATTTCCCAATCATTATTTTTTTAATTTTAATTTGGATAATCTCTAAAATTGTTTAATTATTACTGCTGATCTTAATTTCCATGATCAGAAGGAAAATCTTCTTCTTCGATATCCCAACCGTCTTGAGCCTTCTATTATACTTCTTTCATTTCATTATCTATAATATTCTATCCAAAATCAGCATAACTCATTATAAATTATTTTTTTATTATTATATACACGTAATTAGAAAATATAAAATGATCAATAGAATTATTTCTTTTCATCAGATTTCTTAATTGTTTAATCATAAAATTTCTTTTATTCATTAAAATTTTCAATTATAGATTCATCATTTTAGTAATTCTTATATTCATAAGAAGTCTTACAAATTGATTCAATAGAATTTTTACACATTTATTAAATAATAGCATTTAAACGATTAATTTCTCTATATAGTGCAGTAACATCTGGATTAGGAACAATTATAGTAGGAGGTCTTTATTTAATCATTTCTAATTCTTCATAATATTTTTGACTAGCTTATTCTAAATTCTAATATTAGTATTTTAAACAATCATAATTTTTTGCCTTTTAATTTAATTGATCTACTTTATCAATTAAATCTCTATTTTCTTATTATAAATTAAGAATAAATTAATTTTATTATTTTATGATAAAACTTTATTAAATTTCTTATTCTTAATATCTTTATTGTTATATTTTTAAATCTTCATATTCTAAAAGATCATTTGGATTAATTTTAGATTATTGTAATTAATAATATTTCATAGACAAATCATCATAATGAGATTACCATTAATTTATTTCTAATTTCAAATTTTGAACCTGTGTTTTTAATTCTAAATTTTCAGCTATCTAATATTTATAAATAATAAGAATACTAAATAAGAATGCTCACTCATTTTTATTAAATAAAATTTATTATTATTATTATTATTATTATTATTATTATTATTATTATTATTATTTTATTAAAGAGATATATAAAATATTGTATTATAAATATCATAATACATATACATTGTTAAGTAATTCATCATTCAATTCTTCAACATTCTCTTTTAATGGTTAATCATATGTTTCTCTCAATTTATTTAATGTTAAAATTCCAAATAACAATAAAAAGAACATACCAATAGATGTATTCAATCCAAATGTATGACAAAATACAACATAAGTTTCTTAAAAAATAAATAAAAATTCAGTCAAAAATACCATTCCAGAAAAACCATAATGTCTTAATGATGTAGGAAATACTTCTAAAGCATAAATCTATATTTAAATTTATTATTTTACATTAATAAATGCACATCCAAAACTTAATACTAATCTACTCATAATCAATATCATCATAATTATAGTATGCATTAATCTATCATAAAAAGACATTAATGCTATGGCATTTGTACTTAATTAAAAAATTGGAAAAACTGCATAAAGAAAATTAAACATAGCACTAACACCTAAAACAATCTTCAAAACATCCTTTCTATTATAATTCAAACTTGCATAACCACTTATAAGATATCCTACTGTTGCTACAGTAGATAACAATAATTCAGTCTTTTATCTATCTAATCTAGAGAATGCATCTATTTCTTTAGAAGTTTAAAATTATCCAATTATAATAACTGAATACAAATAAAGAAGACAAAACATTCTAACTCTGGTTGAATTATAACGAAAAATTGAACTAAATTTTTAATATTAAAGATTTACGAAAAATTGTATCCTTTAGCAACTTCCTTTACACCAAATTATTAAGTAATTTCTTACATTTTATCTTTAAGTTCCTTTACTCTAACTTCATCTTCTAACATCCAATCTTTAGGCATTTCTCTTCCATTACATTAACTTATTATTTGAAGAACAATTTTTGCTTAATGATATTTCTTTTTAATGACAAGCATTCTTGGTGATTCTTACATAAATTTAATAAGAACTGAAAACATAACAGCTGGTCCACCAAATAAAATTAACATACTCTATTACCAATTTAATTAAAATGAATCAATAATTACTGGTGATATTATAGTTCCAATTCCATAAGCTGTCAATAAAATTGAAGGACTTAATTTTTATAGATTTTCAGATGATATTTCAAAAAATAAAATCATAGAAGAATTCAAAAATCCTCTTAAAAAGAAATTAGCAAAAAATAATGCTACACTTAATAAATATGCATTTGGTATTAAAATTGTTAAACAACAAGTAAATCCTAATAAAGCCAATGTTTCAATCATAATTGATCTAATATAATTATCAATAAATTACTATCTCCCTTATCTAATTTCCATCTACTCTCCATAATACAAAGATCCTATACATCCACCTAAATAATAAGAAGTAATAAGTATTAATATAATAATTTTGTCATCACAAACTAATTAAAAGAATTATATTATATCTCCTAATTGAGATGCAAATGTAATTTTCTCTTTGTCTATATCATCTCTATAATATTATTTGCAAAACTCCACTTCATTACATTAATATATGTTATATTGTTAGTCAATACATTTATATTAAGTTTGATGGAAATACAATTCCGTTATAGCAATATGAAACATTCCTGCAACCATATACTACAAGCTCATTATAACGATGGCTCTGATTTAGAATTTGTGTCCATTTCCAGCTTTAATTAATGCTTACTCCACTGTTAATACATCTACATATCTAATTGGCATAGCAATTGTATATAATTAGAAATATATAATAATTGTATAATTCAATGCTTTACTGCAGTTCTTTTTTCAACTATTCCATCATATCTTAAAACTAATTCTTTATGTTATTCTTCTTCGACTTTTAATTCAATTAATTTTTTTTCTAATACAGTTTCCAATTATCCTATTAATTACTCATATTCTTTTTGCATTTGCATTATTTCACTATCAGTTTTCCTATTCACTTATTATAAAATGATATGTCTAGTTTAATTATGAGCTAATTTCCTCCATTTACTAAATACTTATCTTGGAAGTCTCTATCTATATTTTTTTTAATAATTTTTTACTTATAATGTTTTGTTGCATAAACCTTCATACTTCTAATGTATTTTTAAAATTTAACTTATTCTTTGAATATTTTAAATATTCTCTATTGAAGATTTTCCATATAAAGTTTTCTTGCTATTGAGTATCCTATACGAAGTTTATGTTATATATCTCCTTTTGTTTTTGTATAATCTATAATTCATATAAATAAATATACTTTTAAAAAGGTTTTCCAAAATCAATAATTCTTCTTAAGTTTAATTATATCCATCATCAACCATGATCAAATTTCCTGAATACATTTCTTCTGTAAATTTTCTACATTACTCTAAATATGCCTAAACTGTTTTTTCAGACCATTCATCTAATAACTATTTATTTTTCTTAGTAAATTCATTTATCACTTTTGTCTTTAATTGAGTTGTGTCCATTAACGATTAATTTAAATAACTACTAATTTATATATAATATTTCAAAAAAAAAAAATGAAAATTGTATTATTTATTGAACTTATTTATGAATTCATTTTTATTCAAATTTAGCAACACCTTATGAATATTCTTTTGCAATCTAACTTAAAATTCTCTTCTACTTAAATGCCAATCCTAAAAATATAATAATAATATTAGATACCATCACTTGGAGCACAAGTTTATATACGTTTTATTGCTTCTTATGTAGCATCAATTAATTTATCAATACTCAATACATCTTTCTTACATTAATCTAATCTTTATTTTGATGTAGTTTCAACAGGACTTTTATTAATTATCTTCATAATAGATTCATAATGAATTTATAATTATTCTGTTTCTTTATCTAATTATTAAATAAATTTAGTAATTTTATCTTAAACCCTCACTTCATTTAGTTCCATTTAATCATTATTTTGATTTAATAACTTTTCTAAATCAAATATATTTTATTCAAAGTCTCTTCTTGAACTTTCACTTCTATCAATAGTTTATTATTTGAAAGGTGATAATTTACATGATCGAATTTATTCTATAATTTATTGAAATATAATATTACCAGATAAAATTAATAATGCATCTTAATATTCATTTTCAATTTACATTTCTTAAATGAAAGCTTGAGTATCTTATAATTAAAGTAATTTCTAATCTCTACTTATCCAACTAACAAAAAATTAGTTTAATTTATTAACTCTATTTTAATCATTCATAGTCTCATAAAATGAAGAACTACTTTAACATTTTATTTAATTCAATTTTTCAACCCTATTCTAGTTTTATACAATACGTGATGTCAACCATGATGTAAACTTTTCATTTTTTTCCTTTCTTTATTAATATAAACTTTTTACTCATTAACAATAAAGTCTAATCCTCTTTATATGCGATCACATTATTGATTCTTTGCTCTTCTTTATTCTTTCATAATTGATATTTATCTTTCTAATTTTTTCATTTATTTTTCATAAGTTGGTTAATAATTAGCTTACCAATCAATAGATTTATGAAACACTTCTAAAAGTTCTAATTTGATGCATATAGATATTGAAAATGTAAGAAATATAAGAAAATATTTCATTTTATTTTCGTTTTTTTATTATTATTATTAAGACTTAGTTAATATTGGAAAAAAGTATATAATTATTATTCATTTATTAATTAAAATGATCATTACCCACATTCGAATTTGAATTCACAATTTTTTATTTCAGTTCCATCTTTATTAGTGGCAGTTGCATATATACAAGTATTGCCAAATAATAATGTAACTTTTACAGTCTTATCTTCAACAGACTATAAAGGTTTCCCTATATCAATACATAATTCTCCTAATTATTAAACACCTTATTCATCTACAAAGTCTACTTCCCTCTTTTCTGTCACATAAAAGATAATTCTCATTATTGTTTATCTAGATCTAACTGGACAATATATTTTAGTATGAATTTCATCACAACTATATAATTATATTTTAATTAATATACCCAACTGCATCTCCTTTCCTAACAAAAGCATCAAATACATCCTCACTAAATTCTTCTCCTTCAATAATTACTTTTTTTTTTATAGGATGTCTTTCAGCATCAAAAGTTGTCAAAGTATTAATACCATAAGTTTTCTTTGCTATTCTACTTGTAATTGATCTTGGACTCAATCCAAATAAACAAGCTCCTCTTATAACAGAAACTTAAGGTCTTCTTGGTACCAAAATTT